AAATTTATGAAGTGCACCTCCACCTCTTCTACTACTCATGAGTAATACCAAACAATGAAAACGTACTTCAGGCAAAATTAAGACATCCTGATGCCCATGCAGTACTTTCAGCTCAAAAAATTCTTCACAGAGAAATAATTCTATAGGGGTATATAGGCAAGAACAAAGACTCATTTCTGTATGTCAGCTGTGGAAAAAGCTAAACAGCTATGTTAGTTAATAAATACATCTCTCAGTAGAGTACAAAGGAAGTAGGTTTGTACATCAGAGAAATTCTATTTTAATAGGACTAGGTTTTAAGACTCAAACTCTGCCTACGTTCTCATCTGCATTTTCAAATTGCAATAAGTGGTACAGGAGCTGAGTTCCCTCTTCCCTGGTGAAATATTAATATTATGTAAAGAATGCTAAATTCTGATTAGCCTGTTATCTATAGCCATAACATCTCAGTGCCAGTGTTAAGGACTGCAATTCCATTGTTGAAGGCTTTCAGGAAATCCTGAATGAAAAAGGACCGACCAAAGTTTAGTTTTCCATTTGAGTAAAACAGGACGTAACAGATGCACCCATTCCTCAACAGTTCTCATCAGGACTTCACCAGAGTTTTAGACCTATCATTATTGAGACACTGAATTTCTTTTAGATAAGAAGACAAAGGCAGACTTTGCTGATGAATTGAGCAAAAGCCATTAAAATATTTTTCAAAGGCTTTGCAATTGAACAATGGACTATTCCATCCTTGCCTAATTGCAGAGGAGAGTCACTTTTTTCCAGGGAATGATATAAGGTAAGTAAGGTAGAAATAAGTGAAAATAATTTATTTTAGGTGCAAGTCAAAGCAGGAAGCTTGAAAAGACATGATATAATGGGTGTAGGTATAGGAGGGGGAGACAAAACAAAGCTCATTTGAAATATACTTTCTCTAGGAGTTGATAAGTGCACCTATTGATTGTAGGCTAGGGGTTTCTGTTTCTTTTTACCCCCAAGTGTTCTAGAGTGTTATCAGATGAGAACATATCATCCACTGCTCTGAGAATATGTGTAATGGTAGTACAATAATGAGTTAGTTCTATGTCAAACAGAAAGAAAAGGTCTAACGACTCTTCAGCCACTACAATGCTTCTCAAAGTCCTTTGTCATAGAAAGCAAAATGCTATTACTCTTTTACAGGTAGGAAAGCAAAGGGAAAGAGAATGAAGCAAGCTGCCCAAGATGACTCAAGAGGAATTGAAAAAAACATGCTGTATGTCTAGAACTTCGTTTTAAAGACCACCCAATCTTCAACCAGTTATACAAAATATGACTGAGATATAGATGGCACTCAGCACTGCAAAACTAATATTAACTACTAATCGAGTCCTCTCAACCAAACCTTGCTATTTTAATAAAAATTTTCCCACTCCAGGTTAAAAAACAGTGAACAAAAATTAATTCAGAAGTTCATGATCTAGAAGAATTCAAACTTTATCCTCCACACATATAGGCCAGGACGTGGGTGTACTGAGCTTTTTTAATGAATTAAAATGGAAGGAAGTGGGAAGGAAGTAAAAAAGAAATAAATGCTTTTATTATGCCAAGTAATACAGCTCTACATTTCTCCATTTGAAGTACTGACTTGGGAAGGTGATAAAATGCATTAGTTCTATGAGTTTAATCTCCCTCCAAAACACCATGTAACCCCACCTTCCCATGCAGAAGTTTCTTCTGACTCAGCACCTCAAAGGCACCTCAGAGATGTGGAGTTTCAGGCACAAAGCACCATTGGATCATTGGAATCCAATGTATGTAACACTGACAACAACAGCTTGTCTTAAACACAAGCATGCACGCCCATTCCAGGAAAGCAGCTAATCCTGGAAACAAAATAGGACTGAAATTACTGCTTTACTTAATGGTTTATCTTATGTTCTCACTTTAAAAACACCTGCCCAGCCTTGGTTTACTCTTACCCTCATTCTGCTCTTCTCTGCTACTGTGAAGAATCTTCTTATTCCCAGTCATCCCACAGGAACATGCTGTCTTTAAGCCACATCTCTCTCTGGAAGAATTTTTCTCCACTCTAGTCTCTTTTCTCTCTTGATATTTATTTATTATCTTTATAAATTGCAGATGCCAAAACCTGGTACAATATTTCTTTCTACAGTCTCACTGTTGCACATACCAATAAAACCACCTCCTTAGTCTTAATTTTTAGTGAGGTTTTTTTACATTCAAGTTAAAAATACAAGTGCCACTGAGCTGCCTGTTCTTTCCCCTGGAACATTCCTAGCATCACTTATGTCAGCTGTAGGGGTCCCTTACAGTGCCATTGCTTCCTTCTGGCTGTGTAATACTTCTCTCCTAGAGACAATTTTGACAATTTTGTTTGAATGACCTCTGCAGTCTAGACTGTAACTGGATTGCATGATCTGATTGCTGTGTCCTCCTCTTTTTTCCTAGTGTTTCAATCTTAGCATTATTTTCAAATTCTAACATCCAAGAATTCATGCAGCTTTCCAAAGGATTTGTGAAAATATTGAAATATGTTGTACACACCCAATTCTAAACTGTGGAAGGCTGTGGAGAGAGACTGTTTAAAAGAGAATGCAATTACAGGACCAGGGGGAATGGTTTCAAACTGAAAGAGAGCAGGTTTAGATTGGGTATTAGGAAGAAATTCTTTACTATGTGGGTGGTGAGGCACTGGCACAGGCTGCCCACAGAAGTTGTGGATGTCCCATCCCTGGAACAGTTCAAGGTCAGGTCAGATGGAGCTCTGAGCAACCTGGTGTAGTGGAAGGTGTCCCTGCCCAGGGCTGGGGGGCTGGAACTAGATCATCTTTAAGGCTCCTTACAACCCAGGCCATTCTGTGATTCTATTTTATGATTCTATGATCCCTCAAAATTTTTGTGTAAGGGTCATTTCTCATTGATTAATGCTTTGAGATGTCAATCTTCAAGGAATACTATTTTGATAAATTATACTGTTTATTTTGTAGTAGATGAAATGCAAAATTGAATGAAATGCCTTACAAAAGCCTAAATAACACCTAGTACTATTCAACAAGTAAATTCACATTCTGAAATGAAGTTTATCTAGCATAACTGCTTTTCTTTAAAACTATGTTGACTGTCACTAATTTCTTCCTACCACTAATTTTTCCTTAGGCTTGCTTCTTTAGCTAAATTCTCCTTAATCATTCCAATATTTTTTCCAGGGCTGAAATAGAACTAGCCTGCTCTGCAGCATTAAAAAAGAAAATGGCATGACACTCACATTCCAGAATTTTAAAAATTCACCAACAGATCTTTCCAGCCTCCTTTTTTAAGGCCCATAGGTGAAAGTTATCAAGTAATGAGCCTTCTGCTTTATTTATTTTATCACTGGCAGATGTTGTTTAACATGCTTTGAAAGATTCAGTGCTGTTTATACAGTAGGGACACTGGATCTCCTACCACCATATGGGCTTGCTAGGGAGCAAACAGCACTTCCCTCCTACTGTGTGCCACTCAGTATTGAAGAGGTATCAGAGCTTTTGTTCATCTTTGCATGAATAAATGACACGATTAATTAAACAGTGATTGACTGGCATAATTTCTTGGTTTTGGCGTTACAAAAAACCAGTGCAGATTAGTTCATTGACATACAAAATAAACCAAGAAATAAGCTTTGTCAAACTTTTTTTGAAATCTTAGAAGGTAGAAATTGAGTGTCCAGAATTGAGTGTCCAGATATATACTGTAAGAGTTCTTGTCCATTATGCTTGCCACTGAATTCATCCTAGGTTACCACCTTAATCATTAAGTATTTTTGGCCCTTACATTAAGGAAAATTATCTAGACATACTAAGCCATTATAAATTGATGTCCAGCTGGCAGAGAGCTGTGCAAGATCACTCAGAATGTTCATCTGTCCTATTTATCCCAGAGTCTTGTTAACCCTGGATAACAAAGGATACCAATTTGGACATCAACAACATATCACTTTAGACTACTTTTACCAGAAATATCCCATTAGTGTGCATTATCTTCATATCTTAATCAGCCTTCTTTTCCTCCTGAGACTGCAAAGGACCCAGCTGGCCAACAGCCAGAATATCAAGTGTCTCACACACCTATTATCATAATGGCAGAAGGTCATACACTGAAAACTGAGCACACAAATGCAACATAAACTAAACTGAGTATTTTGATAACAGAAATTTATGGAGGTTACTATTCTGGTGCAATAGCGACACTTGTACTTTTGTCTGATTTGGAGGGGTTTTTGTACTTCTGGTTTCAATGACAACACCTCTACTGGGAAAATTCTTTGATTAAAAAACAAATAAACAAAAAAAAAAAACCAAAACAAACCACAAAAAGCCCCACACCAAATCAAACTTCAACAATGCTTTTTCTATCAGGCTCCCCAGGTCTGCAAATATGCTTAGTCTTCCTGTCTTATATCTTGGTTTGGTCCTTCCTGTAACATCTCAGAGACTGATTGTGTCTCAGACTAACAGGCAATAAAAAGATAGAAATTTCAAAAAGATAAAGGTGAAATTTTCCTGATCACTTGAGATACCAAAGTCAAGACATTTACACCTAAGTTATTTGACCATAAGGACGTCTGGACAATGGAAAGACAAAATCATTTCCAGAGCACAATCCCCCTTCATCTAAAGGAGCCATCCAAACCAGGTTAGAAGAACTGTGATCAGGACAGGTCTCTCTGTTGATTACCACGGCAATATTGTTGACTTACTCAAACATCAAAAGTCAACTCAAGCCACATGGTTTTCCTAATAGCTCACACTGTTTTCAGTTTGATCAGTATGTAGCCAAGACTTCTTGCATACCACAGCATCTTGGAAATTATTGAAACATTTGCACAAATATGTACTTTTTAAAATTTGAAATGGGCCCTTTCGGGTGCAGGGAAGCATTGGTGGAGAAAAATTGGCAAAACTATGAAGCAGCAATTCAGAAACTATTTGCTTTCCTCACTTACTTCTCACAGCCAACTTCACTACTCTCACCTGTGTATTAGTCCATTCCATTTCAGGAAAAGGTCCCAGCTGAAGGCCTCTACCTGTGGGATTTTCTTCCTCCTGGCCTTTCTGGAAGTACATAGAGACATCTACTCAGGACATGTTCCAAACTCAGATTTTTCATTGTCTTTGCATATGGTGTTTAGTTGTGTAGGTTTGCTTCCCAGGTGGGTTTTTTCTGGGGAGTGGGCTCATTTATTCCCTTGAAGCTGTAAATTAGTATTAATACATGTTGAATTGCCCAGAGGCTTTATTAAAAAAAAAAAAAAAGGTATTATATTATATACTATTAAAAATATGAGTGCTTATTATTGGTTATTAATATCTCTGTATTAGCTATTTATCACTGAAGGAAGAACAAGCAAGTTATGCATATTTTACAAGAATTAACACTGTACTACTGTATTTAGGTTAATTTTTAGTATGCAACATCTACCAATCTCTAGTAACTATTAGCAAATGAAGCAAGAAGGCTACAAGGAATAAATAAACATTCTCTTGACAGTCCACCTCTTTCTAGCTGTAATTAGAAATAACCCTGTTTCTTCTAAATTTTAAAACCCACTCTAATTATCACTATGAATTTATGAAGTTTAACAGTAGGAGGTTATATATTTGCTTTTAATGAACATCAGGTTTCCAATTTTTTTTTTTTTTTGTGAAACAGAAAATCTATAATGAGTTCTTTCTCCCACATAGGCATGAGTCAATGCCATTGTAGAAAACACGAGTTCTTAACAAACAACAACAATATGGAAGAGCCCTGCCAGTAAGGAGAAACATAAGGAAAGGATCTCAGTTTTTGTTGATAGCAAAACTACCATATCTGTAGCCATGCATCCAACAGCATTTTTACACAATGTTTAATAAACACAAGACTAAAAAGAATTTTTACAAATGCCATATTCGTTACGATGCTTATGCAATGCTGATCCTCACCTTCTACTAGGTTACTTGAGAGACTTTTTGTTTCTCTTTTAATAAAGAATACAATTTTTAAAAAGAATAAAAATCATACATCAGTTTAGGCGTGAAAGGAAATGAAGATCACCTATTTCCAACACCTTCCACTAGACCAGGTTCCTCAAAGGCCCATCCAACCTGCACTTGAATACTTTCAGGAATGGGGCATCCACAGCTTTCCTGGGCAACCTGTGTCAGTGCCTCACCATTCTCACAGTGAAGAATTTCTTTCAAATATCTAAACGTACCCTCTGACAGTTTTAAGCCATTCCCCTTGTTCTGTCACTGTAAGCATTTATAAAATGTCCCTCTCCAGCCTTCTTGTAGACCCCCTTTGTGTATAAACCCACTACTTTTTTTGTTTAAAAGGTAACACTTTTTCACTCTTCGTCTGCAAGATTAAGTCTTTTTTAACATCAAGCATAAAGCACAGCAAGTATAAAACCACGAGGCCAAGTCATTCAGGGAAGTCTCAAAACTCTGTTACTATAAAGAATGGCTAATAATAGTCCAAAAGCTCAGGGTGTAACTTTTCAGTATATAGTTTAAGGAAAAGGGACTTCTGCCTCTGCTTAAAAAGATTAATACTGTCATACAACAACATTTTTAAGAATTGAGGCTTATAGTGATGCTGTCAGTCTGCAGTCATTTAGCTGTGTCAGCTAGGAGCAGAGTCCTTTGAGACATGGGAAAATACTGAGAATGGTTTCAGGCTTAAATTCCCTGAGTCACTCTGGAGAGTGCATCCCCACCTCAGTGAAGTGAGATGAATATTCAGTTGAGCTTACACAGAGAGAATTTTTACATTAAAAAAGTCTAGAGTAATTTCTTTTACAGTGTAATGGGCAGCTGTGGATTCCCTACCAACAGCACCAAGTCCACCAGGAACAACCATAAGGCATTTGATGGAGTCCACTGGGGCTGATGCACCTTGACCACAGCAAGCTTCTTTGTACGTGTATTTGGTTCTGGAGACTTTTGAGAAGAAATGTCTAGTACCCTAAACACACATAGAAGAAATGCCCACCAAGCAGTAAGCATGTCCCTGGACAGAGGAAACACCAAAATCAAAAATACAGAGTAAGGAACACCTCTGTTGAGATCATTAGCTAAGGAGGAGCCAAGAGTGAGGTTCTGTTGCAAAATGGCCTTCATTCAAGATATGAAGAATCACTCTGTATAAGGACAAGGGTAATAACTATTGTGCTGTAATCATTGATGATGAGACACCAGCAGAACTGTATAATTTTGGGGCATTTTTTTAAGATAAGCACTTAAAAAGCCAAAGAAAATCTACAGATGAGGAATGTCACAACCTAGGGAAGACTGAAAACAGGATATTACATAAGGATAGTGATCAGTTATTTCCAACTGAGAGAAAAAACAGGGAAATCACTCCAAATTTGCAGCTATGAAAAAAACTTTTAACTGCTAGGGTGATGAAACATTGAAAGTCTCCAGTCCTTTCCATTTCTTACAGGCTTTGGCTCCATGAGAGGCTTATGCCCTAGTAATTCCAGCAATTTTAATTTGGAACCAGATGATTACTAACCAACTAAAAGCAAAAGGCATGTTCCTCTGTGCTAAGTTAAAATAGAATAAATACATATTTGCTTCCAAGGTAAGATTTTACAATGCCACTAGTGGATGCAGTGGTTGTAGAAATGTAATCCTCTTCATAAAAAACATCTTTTGAATAAACTCTACTCAAATGCAAGTAAGGTAGCATCTAAAACAGAATTCATCATAAGCATCAAAGTGTGAGCTAAAAATGTGGCAACCCTAAAGGTGAGACTGAGTTTCCCAAACAGAGCATTCTCATGTCATCAGATGCATTAAGGTATTGTTTTGTCTCCAGCTGCCTCTTCAAAAGGGAATGGGTTTCCTTCTGCCATTTCTGACAGCCATATGCACACCTCAGATCTTACAGGACACCTAAAATAGGACTATATGCCCATCTTAGACAACTGAATATCACCCCAAAAAGATTTTTTTATTTAAAGGAAGTCTTTTCTAACAGACATTGTTATTCATACAAGCTATTATTAAATGCAAATATATAGTTTAAAATTTTTGGGGGCTATTTCATAGAAAATCTAAATCTCCTGCTCTTTAACTAAAAATATTTTATAAAAATTACAAGTTTCCTAAATGTTACGAACTACTTTAATTCCAAAAATCCAAAATCCAATAAAAGTTATATACAAGACCTAGAGCTGAACAAGTTTCAGTGTTGAAGTACACCAAATTTAGAAGGATTTTAATACTCTTATAGTCCGGAAAGCCTTGTTAATCTGTAGATTAGGAAGGATCAGCTTATTGCCATGGAAAAAAATTGTGCCTATTAAATACCCGGAAGTCCCACACTCCAACAAATATTACCTTCACACAAGAACATCATGCAGCATTATAAATAAAGTCAGCCACACCAATAAAAATGAGGAAAAATCAAGTTTTCTGTTTTAAAGTCTTCAAAAAGAGATCTCATGAAAATCTAAATAGTTCCTGCTAATCATATGTAGAGGGCATTGAAGTACTGCTATGCAAAGTAGAGTAATAAAATATGAACATAGGGAGAAGAGATGTGCGAACAAAACTGATAGTATTTCTAAATAAAGCCACGAAAAATTGTTGCACTCACAGGAACTTCAGTATACTGAACAGTATCTGGGATCACAGTGCTAAGGTCAAGTCTGTTCCTCATGCCAGTGATGCAACTACTATAGATGAATTCCAGAGAACTGAGCATGAGGGGATGAACTTCCATGGTGAATAATTGCTTTTAAACTAAAAATTTAATTTATGTCAGACAATGATAAAAAGGCAAGTTGCAATGAAAAGCTCAAAAATATATAGGAGGCTACAATTTTCTTCTAAAATTTGAGTCATTCTTTTTATCAATTTACAACAGAATAATGAACAGCTGATAGCACATTGGAGACAAGTCCAAAAATACTTTTAAAACAGGCTTGTGAATGAAATGAAAATTCAGGAGCAGCAGATGGGTTTAACTGCTGTTAAATGCAGAGTGGTTTCCAAGAACATGTTGTATGTAATAATAAATAGCCAGAGACAAAGTTTCCCCAGCAGTTTAAATCCTGAGCATACAAGCTAAGTGAGGGCTTTCAAGCTTTGGCTCACTGCAACATCCTCACATTCTACCCTTGTCTACAGCAGCAAAAATGCTTGTTATTAACAGTGTGTGCCAGCAATGAGTGCAATTACAGCAGCACTGAGCACAGTTTCACAGGCAGGCAGGTTTAACATAGGCTTTCTGAAACAAGAATAGTTCTTGGCTCTGCTTGGAGGTTAATCACATTCAGCACCAGGGTATCCATTCTCACAGTGGATGATTATGCCAGTGTACCCAGTGCCTCAGTTTGTGCATACGTTTTACATAATAAACATTAGAAATTGCCTCCCCTTCCAATTCTTGATCTGGATGTTGGCACTGGGATGACGTAATGCATCGAGAGTTTCTGCAGTCATGCTTTGACTGCCCCCATGTTTCATGCCCTCTTGGACTTCAGCAAAAGTGGAGTCCCAAATGTCCAGAAAAACACGCAGCAACTTTTTTGTTTGTACCTCAACCAGTTCTGGCTTCATCTCCTAATCCATCAAAAAGTGGTTTTATTAAGTGACAGCTGTGATTAGGTTAAAGCTTCTGCACTTGCTACCACATATTCTTATACTTGACTGACACAAATACTTGTGACACAGAATGAAACTGGAACTTTTAAACTCACAGTGACGCACAGAGGCACAGAAAGAGAAGGGTTCAAAAGAATGAGTGCAACTGGCAGAGGACAGAAATCTACATCGGGATCAAACCCAGAAAAAAATCACTGCCGCTGTCTCCTGTTAGTCCAATTGCTTCTGTAACAACAAAAGATTTGTGAGGAACTGTGGAAAAGAGAATCACTGGATTCAAAGAAGCCTCTGGAGTTCAGAGCAGATCTACACTACAATATACATGTGCTCCTGCTCTGACGCACCAAGGATGATTCTGGTTAGCTACTCCATAATACCAGTATCTGCTTGATACTGTCTTGAATGAACTCGAGGGAAAGGATTATTAGGGGAACAAATGACAGAAAAGAAATGTG